CCCCACCCGGCCCCGCCCCGCCCCTCCCGCTGGCCCCGCCCCCTCCCCCCGCCCTGAGGGAGCCGCGGCGCCGCCGCCATTTTGGAGCTGCCGCCGCCGCCGCCGCTCCGCCGCCGCTGCCCCGCAGCCCCGGCCGGCCCAGCCCCGGGCCCGGCCCCCGCCCGGCCCGGCAGCGCCCGCGGCCAGCCCGGCACCGCAGGTGAGACCCGCCTGGCACCGCCGCCCTCCCGCGCGGGGCCGGGGTCGGGCCGGGCCCGGCGCCGCGGGCTGGGCCCCGCCGCCCCCCCGCCTCCGCTCCGGCCTCTGGGAGCCTCCCCCGCGCCCCGGGTGTTCGGCACCGTTTGGGGGGTTAACAACCTCCGCTGCCGAGCCCCGGGCCGGGCCCTCGCCGCCCCGGTTCGTGCGGATCTGGGTTAAATCCGCCCGGTCTGCGCGTGACAGTTTCCTTTTCCCGTGTTTTGGTGCGAGCGGGGCGGGCCGGGGGAGGCTGCGGGGTCCGAGGGCGCCGGGATCGCGCCTGGATCGCACCCGGCCCGCGGGCAAGGGCTGGAGCTGTTGGGAACGGTGGTGACAAGGTCAGGGCGGGGGGCAGGTCACTCCTGTCGGGGTCAGTTCCCCCTCCCGAGGGTCTGCTCACCTCCTGGGGGTCACATCTCTCCGGGGGTCAGAGCTTGGGGGCAGCGGTCAGGGTCCCTCTCCCGAGGGCCAGGGCACCCTCCTGGGGCTCATCCTCCCGAGGATCATGTCCCTCTCCCGAGGGTCTGGTCCCCTTCCCGAGGGTCTGGTCCCCTTCCCCGAGGGTCTCGACCCGTTCTTGGGGGGCAGATCCCCCTCTCAGGGGTCAGGTCACCCTCCCGAGCAGCTGGTCCTGTTCTGGGGGTTCTGGCCCCCCCTCCCGGGGGTCAGGACCCTCCTTTTGGGGTCAAGTTCTCCTCCTGAGGTTCATCCTCCTGTAGGTCAGGTCCCCCTCCCCAGGGTCTGATTCCTCCTGTGGGGGTCAGGTCCTCCTCCTGGGGGTCTGGTCCCCTCCCCGGGGGTCAGTTCCTTCCCGGGGGTCGGGTTCCTCCTCAGGGGGTCAGGTGCCCCTCTCGAGGGTCAGGGGTTGGTGATCCCTGTTTCCCAGGGTCAGGCACTCCTTCCTCGAGGTCGGGTCACCCCCCCTGGGGTCAGAGGTGGGGTGTCACCCTCCCAGGGGTGTCACCCTCCCGGGGACCCGCCGAGCTCGAGGTGCACGATTTGACCCTAAACGTCCCCGGGGTGGTTTTATGAACGGCCATAAAGCAGGGTGGGAGCCGAGGCCACCAAAGGAATCACCATCTGACAGAGACACGGCCCCTGGGAGGGCCCTGCTGGATCTGAGGGCCTTGTTTTGCACCAGCTACAAAAAAAAAAAAAAAAAAAAAAACCAACTAGGAAGTGAAAAAGAGAAACTGAGAGAACTCGGAGGGACCTGAGGGGTTTTTCCTCCCTAGATCCCCCACTTGAAAATCAATATGTCAAAAACTTGAGGCTTGCTTCTGTCATTTTATTTTCTCTCTCAGAAAGGACAGAGTTTGTGGTTCTGGCCCTGCCCAGCCCCACAGGTTTGAGCCAGGCCCTTGGGAGCAGATTTGGGCTCTAAAGCTCCGTTTTAAGACTGATGAGAGAAGAAACATTTATGTTTTCTCTTATTACTCTGACACTTAAAAGTGAATGTGCTGCCAAAATACTTCGGTGATAAAAAAAAAACCCTGGTGGATGGTGGTATAGGGATTTCCATGGCAACCCATGGTGATCTCATGGGAAGCAAAGTTAAATTTTTGGGCTGTGCAGTGGGAGCACTTCGTGGTCTGGGCTGGTCTGAGTGACATTTGCTCGGGAGAGGGTGATGGGGGTTGGACAGGAACAGTCTGGGCTGGAATTAAGGCTCGTTTTCCATGTGTGCACCGATATTTCTGGTGGGGTTTTGTGCTTTGGATTAACGTGCCAATTCCAGGGCTCCGGGACAGCGTCCTGGCTGGAAGTGGTGCTGGATGGGTGGTGCTGCAGCAGGTGCCTGGGCAGAGCCGTGTGGGAATGGGTTCCTGCAGAGCCTGGGAGTGGGGGAGAGCGTTTGCTGTGGGATGCAGGAGCTCTGGAGCATCCTCCTGCTGCACCTGGTGTTCCACGAGCTCTGCCTTGTGCTGTGGGAGGGATTTCTGACTTCAGGAGTTGGAGACTGTCAAAAATAATAACGAAGAGGCAGCTCTCTCTGAGAGCTGGTGTTGGGGGCTTTTTACCAGGGAAAAAGCAGTCTGTGGGCTTAAAGGATTTTTGGGAAGCTCCAGGCCTCTGCTGGGAGCAGCACAGCTTGGATTGCAGAGCTTCTCTGGGGGAAGGGGGGGCTGGTGGGGCCTGGCTGTGCTCCAGCTGGGATCCCCAGTCCTGATCACAGTTTACTGGTTGGACTGGGAGACAGCTGGAGGGAATTCCATCCCTGCTGTCCCCACACAGTGGGATCCTGAGTGAAGGAGGAATCTGTTAAGCTTCTGCTCCTCTTTGGTGGGGAGATATCCCAGTGTTTTCCCGTGGTGTTTTCCATGCTGCGTGCTTCATTTGAGTTCTCCCTGGAGTTTTCCGGTGGCAAAGGGAACCCAGAACTGTTCTTCCCTGAGCCCAGTGGTGGTACAGAGGAATTCCAGCATCACAGAATCTTAGGATGTCCTGAGTGGGAAGGGATCCACAAGGATTACTGATCCAACCCCTGGCCCTGCACAGACACCCCAGCAATCCCACCCTGTCCCTCAGAGGATCATCCAAACCCTCCTGGAGCTCTGGCAGCCTTGGGGCTGTGCCCACTGCCCTGGGGAGCCTGTTCAGTGCCAACCACCCTCTGGGGGAAGGACCTTTCCCTGAGATCCAACCTGAGCCTGCCCTGGCACAGCTCCAGCCCTTCCCTGGGTGCTGTCCTGCTCACCAGGGTTTAGGGAGGGCTCAGGGCTGGGAACAGGGGGATGAGCTTCCTGCTCTGCCTTGCTGCCGGTCAGGTGTGTGCAGTGGAAAAGCCGTGGGTTCTGTGTTTGGGATCGTGACTCCACGAATGTCACCCAGCAGGAGGGATTTTTAGCAGGGGCTGAGAGTCAGTGCAGTGCCTGAAGGGCAGTAGCTGCAGCACTGGAATAAACTCAGCCATAAAAATGGGCAAACTGGAATGCCAGGAAAGAGGAGAGTCTCTTGCTGGAGTAAATGTTTTTGGAGGAAGAGTAGAACAACAAGAATAACTGGGAAATTTGGGTGTAAATGATGCAGGAAAAGCGGGTGAGGTTGGTGAGTCGAGAGCAAAGCAGGAGTGGGGTGGTTCAGTCCTGAAATCATGGAATATTCCCTGAGTGGGGAGGGACCCACAGGGATCAAAGTCCCACTCCTGGCCCTGCCCAGGACCCCCCAGAATGCCGCCCTGTCCCTGTGAGCGTTGTCCAAGCGCTCCTGGAGCTCTGGTGCCCGCGTCCGCTGCCCAGGGAGCCCGTTCCAGGTAGACAGAACTTCTGGAGAACTTTGCAAGGAGGAAGATTTGTGGGAGGTCTTGTTTTGCTGGGTGCAGAACAACTGAAAAACTAATTGGGGAGTTAATAGAGTGTGTTAATGAGTGACGGCAGCGCCGGGGCTGAGCCGCCGGACACGGAGCAGCCCCGGGAGCAGCGGCGCTCACTCCTGGCCCTGCTTATGGGTTACACAGTCCTGCTCTTAATTACATTTACGGGCTGGAGCGTTTGTTACCTCCTTTTCACGGAAAATCCGCAGATGTCGGCGGGTTTATGGAAGGCTCAGGGAAGGAATGTGGCCTCTGTGTGACCAGGAGTAGCAACAAAGGATCTTAAGTGTCTCCTTTGATTCAATATTATTGGAAGCAGGAGTGTGTTGTCTTTTCTGGCCGCTGCTGTGTTTCTGTGCTCGTGCTTTTCCCTTTCCCTCTCTGGGTCTCTGTTCCTTCCACCGTCCTCCCCCTGCTCCAGGATGGGCTTCCCTGCTCCTTGTTTTGCTCTGCCAGCACTGCAATAACCAATATTGACATTATTGTCACCTGCCCCGGCCGTTCTTACCTGCGTGCTGCCTCTGGTTTGGAGGGAAACTTGGGCAAATAAATATCAGTCATCTCAGGAAATTAAGTTTTCGCAGCCAAGCTTAAAAACCTCAGGCGAAAGTAGCTCAGATTTAGGTGGAATCTGAATGCCACACACACTGGTGTTGGATGGGGGCTGGAAGGGGGAAGTCTGGTGTTTTATCCTTGAGTTTGTTGGTGCCATGTAGCCCCAGATGAAGTAGACACGCTGTGAACAGTGGGAATAATAAATGTCTGCACGGCAGGGCCTGAAGCCCGAGGAAAATTGTCATTTTTGGCAGGGGCCCCTTCAAACCAAACCCCGAGCCTTGCGCAGGGGTGTCAGCAAAGTGAGGCTGAGGGTGATGTCAGAGGGCAGATCAGATCCTCGGGCTGAGCTGGCAGCTGTGGAGCTGGGATGCTCCTCCTTTCCCTCTCACTTTCCCTTTCCCTGTGTCCACCTGTCCCTGGGAGCGGCGGGGTGGCCGTGCCGGGTGTCCCAGCGCCACAAACAGCCCGTCCCTTCCCCGAGTCAGCGCCGGCTGCTTGAGGACACGGGGCTTATCTGGGCAGGAGGGGAAGCCGGAAGGCGTGAGAAAACAACCTCCTGTGAAATGGCAAAGGTCAGGGAGTCACTGGAGGCAGGGAGAGCTCACAGCCCTTCCTGACCAGGAGAGACCCAGCAGCTTCACTGTCTCAGCTTTCCACAGAATATGGAGTGTCCTGAGCTGGAAGGGACCCACATGGATCAAAGTCCCTGCACAGACACCCCAACAATCCCCCCCTGTCCCTCAGAGGATCATCCAAACCCTCCTGGAGCTCTGGCAGCCTTGGGGCTGTGCCCACTGCCCTGGGCAGCCTGTTCAGTGCCAACCACCCTCTGGGGGAAGAACCTTTCCCTGAGATCCAACCTGAGCCTGCCCTGGCACAGCTCCAGCCCTTCCCTGGGTGCTGTCCTGGTCACCAGAGCAGAGATTGGAGCTGCCCTTGTCCATGTTGAACCCCACACAAGGTGATTCCCAACCCTCAGATTTGTGCAGGTCTCCCTGCAGGGCCTCTCTGCCTTTGGGGGAGTCTGCAGCTCCTCCCAGTTCTGTACCATCTGCAGACTGACCCCTTATCCCTCGGAGCTGTGTCCAGGT